AAGAATTAGGAAAACATCGGGTTTTCCTAGGGTTTTTCAATACACACATTTTTCAAAATGCACACAATTTTGATGAACATTTTTCTTACAACTATAGAAACAAACAAGCATACCTATGGATCTTCACAAACGTTTTCAAAAGCTCTTTTCAGAAAATATCGGATTTTCTGGTGGTTTTCAAAATGATACAAAACATTGCTTTTCAAATACCGCTTATGAACTCACCAACATTTCACATGTTGACGTTTTTCAAAATACTTGTATTCTCAGGTAACCAGTGATTCAAAGGAAAAATGTACCCAGTGATGGCTTGCAGTTTACTTATTAACGAGTCGAACAATTTATTTTTGGGAATGTAATGTTTAAACAATGTACTTCATGTAAACTTTATCGGTTGTACTATATTAATGCATAGTGACGAATGTTGTTATGTTCCATATATATTCAATGTTATGGTATTCAATTAAGTCACGACAGCCCTCGGACGTTTCCGCCGTCTGGTTCAGGGGTGTGACAAAGGCCATCTTCTACATATCCTCTTCTCTTTCCTTCATCTGATGGTAACCTGAATGAAAATCAATCTTGGAAAACCAAGATGCACCCTAAAGTTGGTCAAACAAATCATCAATCATTGGGAATGGATAGCGGTTCTTCAACGTTAGCTTATTCGACTCACGGTAATCACTACACATCCGATGAGACCCATCCTTCTATTTCACAAACAGGATCGATGCTCCCCATGGAAAACTATTCGGTCGAATGAACCCCTTGTCTAATAGCTCCTGCAATTGTGTTAACAACTACTGCATCTCTGGAGGAGTTAACCGATATGGTGCCTTGGCTATCAGAGTCGCACCAGGAACCAAGTCAATCCTAAACTCCACCTACCTCTCCTGATGTACCCCTGAAAAATCCTCTAGAAACACATCCAGGTACTCTCGTATAATCGGCACATCATCTACAGTCGCCTTACCCTTATCTCGAGTATCCATAACATATGCGACAAATCTAGAACAACCCTATTGAATATATCATCTGGCCCTAGCTGCCGAACATAAAATCGGCCCACATTGAGATCCCTATCCATGAATCACGAACTCTCCCCTACTTGGGGTCCGGATACGCACCAACTGATGCTCACAATCGATCATCGCCCTATTGGAGCTCAACCAATCCATCCCTACGATAACCTTGTTCCCGCACAAAGGAATGGGGACCAAATCAATCGGATACTACTCGTTGAATATCTGAAGAACACAACCCTGATGAACCCTCGATACCCGGATAGATCCATCATCTTCAATCTTGATGTCTAAAGGATAATCAAGCTCCTCCAGAACTCCATCAAACCTTTTGCTACGCACAAGCAATACAAATGATCGGGTAGCCCCCGAATCGAATAATACTAAAGCCGAAATATTGTTCATAAGAAACGATTCTAATATAAAACACATAAATATGACCAGGCAATTCCATATAAATAAGAGATAAGGATAAGATACATACCTGTCACCACATTAGGTATTGTGCGGGCCTCCTCGACCTCAACTGAAAAGCCTTGCCCTTCACCACAGATGCATCCGCCTTGACCTGGCGGCTAGGGGTGCAAACGAGCCAAGCTACTCGCGAGCTACTCGGGATCGGATCGTTAAAAGCTCGACTCGAAATCGATTTTAAACGAGCCCGAGCCGAGCTCGAGCTTAATATTAAGCTCGTTTATTAAACGAGCTCGAGCTCGAGCCTATGTCATTAAGCTCGATTAGGCTCGCGAGCCTAAACGAGCCTTTACATAATATAATTTATTATTATTTATATATATTAAAATAAAAATATATTAGAGGAATTACGGATTTAGGGTATTAGTAAACGAGCTTCTTAACGAGCTCGAGCTGAGCTTAAGCTTATTTAGGCACGTCAGATAAAAAACGAGTCGATCCCGAGCCCGAGCCGAGCTTGGATAATTCTTTACGAGCTCGAGCCGAGCTCAGTACAAGAAAGCTCGAATCGAGCCGAGCTCGAGCTCGAGCCTCATATAACTTAAACGAGCCCGAGCCGAGCCTGGCTAGGCTCGGGCTCGGCTCGACTCGTTTGCACCCCTACTGGCGGCCATCGGTGATCCTCATCGTTGCTGGAGAAGATGCCACCGTTGGTCCTGTTGCTGCCAAACTTGGAAAAAAGGCCTTCTTGTGGCCCCTCTTTTTGCAATGGAAGCCAATCATATCAGATATTGGGGTGGTGGTGGTAGTAGAAGTACAATCCATGCTAATATGACCCATATGGCCGCACTTGAAGCAGCCAAAACCACCCACCATGCATACCCCATCGTGCATCTTGCCGTACTTGCCACAGCGGCTCCGGCCCTCCTCTCGATCTAGGATGAAATACCTTGGTCCTCTTGCCTGAACTCCCTAATACCTGATCCAATCTGACTTCCTCATCCTCTCCATCTCAAGATCAATCTCCCTCTCCCTAATCCTCGCTATCATGTCCTCTAGTGTCCTATAACTGGATCGGCTCACAAACTGCTAAATGTCACTCCTCAGCATCTCATGGTACCTCACCTTCTTCATCACCTCAGCCACCACATACTGCAGAACCAAAAGCGCCCTCTCATGGAAAATCATGGTGATCTCTGCCACCGTCTTAGTAATCTGGTGAAGGTCCTAAAACTCCCTTGCCAGTCGTTGCACCTTAATCACTAGCACGAACTCAGCTCGGAATCTGGTCGTAAATTCACTTCGCGTTTTTATTTCCCTGGGTAATTTTAATACTATTCAAAATTTCACAGTCGTTCATACTATTGGAAGTAAGTAATCAATTAAAATTGTCATGAATTTATTGTAGATTGTCGATTGAGGTTAAGACATTGCAATTGAAATTGCTACAATATTCATGAGTACTTTGAAAATAGAGATTTTAAGTATTGGATAAACTCATGCTTAGAGATTGCTTCATGGATTTTAATCACAAGTAATTCTAAGACGATAATATATTCTATTCTTAAAGCATAGATATATAGTTCATAGTTTACAGATCAGTTGTGCATAAGGAAAATTGATATTTGTGGGCCCATCGGTGAATTGAGTTGATCTATTAAAACTAGGCACCTAGTCCGGACTAAATTGATGCGTTCGATTTTATAGTCTAAATTGATCATAAATCGGGAAATCAAGAAACAAAATACATGAACATGAGGTTGATCATTTAATCATTGACTCAGTTCACATGATAGCTTGTAGAACGAATGAATAGTTGAACACTTATCTTAGTGCAAACATTTGATTTGAATCAGAGTTCGGCAGTAGCTTTGGAAAGCACTCTTTGTTGGTTATTTCAAGGTCTATATTTTTGCAATTGTAGTTACAGACTTATCCAAGTGGGAGACTGTTGAATTAAGGTGTCAAAGTCAGTAATTAAATTGGTATATTCTTGTAATTAGAAGCAAAGTCCTTTTTGGGTTGTCTTCATAACTAGAACGTGATTAGAATGATATCTAAAGAGAGAGTGTGATTTATTAGATTATTATATGATTAATAAAGTAATTGAAAATTATGAAGAAATGATTTGTTAATATATTATATGATTAATATATTAATTGGAAATAGATGGTTGATTTGTTAACTCATTATGTGGTTAACGAATTAATATGAGATCAATAGTTATGATTTGTTAATTTATAAGGTTAATAAATTAATAAGAAATCAATTTGAATTAATTAATTATTAATCAGTTTTAATCTGGAATTAATTTGAGATTAATTGGAATTAATTAAAGGTGCAATTGGTGAATTGTAATTATTCAATAGTTGAACAAAAGAAACAATTCTAGAACCATCCAAGGTGTGGACGGTTTTGGGAGCTTCCTTGGGGTTTTCATAAGCCTCTGGGATGCATATAAGGAAATGATTTGGATTGGGATTAAATCCATCCAAATCTTGTTTGGTCCCTAAGTTACCTAAACTATAAATAGGACCCCTTATGACCTTAATTTCGTTCATTCACTTCCTATTAGCCTTAGGAATGAAATTTTCCTCTCCTACCCTCTCTCCTCAATTGCCCTCTAGTTCTAGGGTTTGGGTGTAAGTCATTAGAACCATCATACTTTTGGTGCTAGCTTTCCAAGCTCTTCTAAGGAAGAATTGAAGTGATTTGTTTACTACAACAAATTAAAGGTATGTAACCCTAATTCTTTTGTTTTGATTGTACTAAGGTTTCATTAGTGTTATGCTAGTTTTATTGTTCATTTATGTTGCATAAAGCGTATGATATAGATCCTTTAAGTTGCATGTACCCTTAAGTGTTAAAAATTCCACAAACACATAGTTTTTTTTTTAACCTATAAAACCCATCATGTTGTTACCGAAAATTCTTTTAAATCTTTCGCCAAGTCACCCCTTCTTAACCGAAACATAGGGCTTTCACCCGAGTTTCCTGAAATGCTGTACAATTTTTTTTTAAAAAAATACTTCTTTTCCCAGCCCGTCACACCAACTTAAAATTCCTCGTCCATTGTCGACTCCTAACAATCAACCAAATAAAGTGACTCCAAGAGGAAAAAGGCATCCACCCAAGCAGGGCCGGTCCAGACGGTGGGCAACCCGGGCGACCGCCCAGGGCCCACGACTCCTGGGGGCCCAAAATTTATAGGCTATATATATATATATATATATATATATATATATATATATATATATACACACACATATTACCAAAATGATTTTTAGGGTCTAAAGTTGGTTCAAACTCAAACTAGCTCAAAAGATAAACAATTTGGCTTGCTTCTTATTGTTAATTGAATATGTTTATAGTCAATAATAAATGATATTTTTTTGAATCTTTATTATATTTATCTTTAAGCGGCCTTTTTTTCTTTTCGCCCCGGGCCCCATATACATTTGGACCGGCCCTGCACCCAAGCCCACTTATCTCAAATCCCCTTACATAGTCAAGGCTCTTGGTATAACTACACGGGCTCTCACAGTCAGATAAAAGCCTTTCTGAATGGGTGTTCTCAACTCAAGGGTTGCCAAGGTATGAACACCCTTTTTTCACTCTATATATATCTTTTCATTTTTTATCATTGTTACATACTATTAATATCAACATTCTATATTACAGTGACGAAGTATTTAGGACATGTGCCGGTGTATCTGCACAACGCTTTCACATGGAAAGCTTTTTTAACGACTGTGAATTGTTTGGTCACGTGTTGGAGTCATCTACTCAACTTGGACGAGGATCTATGCGACGACTTATCACCTCGAAGATTGTTCGCACCCATTACGGTGACGATAATATCAAAATTAACTCATACATTTAATATTCATACGTGCACACTCAACTGTGGTCAAGAGTCTTTTTAAGATAATAATTAGTTTTGTGGATATCTTGTATGGTGTATATCCGATAGTTAGTTTTGAAGGTAGATAATTATCCTGTATTGTATACCCTATATATGTACTTGTTGGTTATGTGAATAACAGAGAAAGAAAAACCCTTCATACGTATTCTGAGTCTGTATGGTATCAGAGCATACCGTTTGAAACCCACATCAAAAACAAATCGAAGCACGAATAACCTCGAATCGCAATGACTGATAAGGATACCACCGCTCCTCAAGAACCTCGTCTCATCGTCCAAGATGCTCCTTTTCCGACGGGGATCAATATGGACGAAACCAATTATCAGTTGTGGTCCCAACTGATGGAGATGAGGATTGGCGCTCGAAACAAACTGGGTTCTTGACGGGAACCTCCAAGAAACCTGAATCCGGCGCGAAACAGATCGAAACCTGGCTAATGGATAATAATCGAGTCAAGAGTTGGCTCATCGATTCCATGAGTCCAACCTTGATCTCGACGTTTATCCGGTTGAAGACGGCAAAAGAAATCTGGGACGCCGTGGCGAAAACCTTCTACGATGGAACGGATGAAACGCAGTTGTTCGAGTTAAATCGGAGATCGTTCAGCACGAAGCAAAATGGACGGCCACTCGCAGCATACTATAACGAATTGGTTGGAATTTTTCAGGAGATTGATACCCGACTAATGGGTCATGAAGATGAAGTTGATAAGATCGTATCCTTGAAAAAAATCTTGGGACGACTCCGAGTGCACATCTTCCTCGCGGATTGGACGCTGAATTCAATCAAGCGAGGGGAGAGATCTTGCGTAAGGACCCTCCAATGGACCTAGAAGCTTGCTATGCTTTCGTTCGCAAAGATCAGCAACAACGATCTACAATGGAGGACGTGAAACGCGAGACCGACAGTGTCGTGAACTTGGCTACTCGGAGTCGCACCGTGAAGGAGAAAGAAAAGGAGAAGAGTTCCAACAATAAGAAGAATAATTTTGTGTGTACCCACTGTGGTGAAGAGGGACACTCAAAACAAAGGTGCTATGAACTAGTTGGGTACCCCGAATGGTGGGACTTCTCAAAGAGGCCACGAAGGAAGGTGGGACAGACATCCATGGCTACAACAAAAGGTGATGATGGGACTCCGGTTGCGGCACATACCGAGTCATTTAGTGATCACGGTAAGCCTACTATATCCCGATTTTTTAGTCATGAATGGGTCATTGATTCCGGCGCTACGGATCACATGACAAACGATCCTTCTATATTGGAAATTAAAACCCAACCAACACAAAGTTTAATTAAAACGGCAAACGGAGGATCGGCTGACGTAATTTCCGAAGGTTCAGCAAAAATTTCGGAATCAATGAATCTTGAATCAATCCTTGTTGTCCCATCCTTATCTTCAAGTTTGTTATCTGTTAGCCAAGTTATTGACCAACTCAATTGTTATGTCTCGTTTTGGCCAAATAAATGTTTCTTTCAGGATATCGCGACGGATCAGATTCTTGGCTATGGTACTAGGAGGGGCAGGTTGTACTATCTCGAAGAAGAAAGATTAGCGGAGGCGTATAACGTAGAAGGAAGAAACGAGTTAGCGTGGTTATGGCACCGTAGATTAGGACATTTGTCGTTTGGGTATTTAAAAAGATTAAAACCTGAATTATTTTTGAATAATAAAACATTTGATTCTAGTTGTGATATTTGTGAATTGGCTAAGCATCATAGAGTCTCATATCTTCCCAGTGAAAACAAAACAACAATTCCATTCATGAAGATCCACTCGGATGTTTGGGGTCCGGCTAAAATTGCAACCCCAAGTGGGTATCGTTATTTTGTAACTTTTATCGATGAATTCTCACGTATGATTTGGGTGTCGTTATTGAAAAACAAGAGTGAAGTACCGCATGTGTTCAAGGAACTATATCAGATAATTAAATCTCAATTTAAATGTGAGATCAAAGTGCTCCAATCCGATAATGGAGGTGAGTATGTTAATCAGGAAATGGAGGCATTTTGTAAGGCAAACTCCATTCGACATCAAACATCATGCGCCAATACTCCTCAACAAAATGGGCTCGCGGAAAGACGGAATAAACAAATACTCGAGATTGTAAGAGCATCTCTTTTCGACATGAAGGTACCCCGTCAATATTGGGGAGAAGCTGTGCGGAGTGCGGCATACCTAATGAATCGGACTCCTTCAAGAGTCCTCAATTTCAAAACACCTTTACAAGTAGTACACGAAAAACTGGAATTAATCATCGGACCCAATCTCGAACCAAGAGTATTCGGGTGTTCGGCCTATGTGCATAGTAATGATGGAAAATTGGAACCACGGGCCAAAAAATGCATGTTCATTGGATATGCTGATTACAAGAAGGGGTACAGATGTGTTGATCCGAAAAGTGGGAAGGTTTATGTTACTCGTGATGTTAGCTTCCATGAAAAAATTCCATATTTTACACCTGAATATTTCCCTCAGGGGGAGAAATCTAATGAGGGAAATATACAGCCCAATGAGTTGGGTCCATCCGGAAATGCGATTTATGAAGATGGACTAAGCGAGAATGGGCCGAACGACATAGGTAATGGCGGATCCGATTCAGGGGGAGATGGGCAAAACGGTAGTGAAGCCCAAACAGATAGTACACCAACAGATAGTACAACGAGCCCGATACCAAGCGAGTCTGATCCAAGCGAGCCTGTTAACGAGCCTCATCCAAGCGAGTCTGATCCAAACACGTCGCAAGGTATGTTTTTTAATGAGAACTCTAACGTGTATGGTGAAGTTGTGGGTGAACAGGAACATGAGACACCTGCGTCTAGGTATCCAGTTAGACGTAATAGAGGGGTACCACGTAAACAATATCAACCGGATCTAACATCGAAGTCTCGATATCCGATCAATAACTTTGTCTCGACGGCCAAGCTAGCCGACACTCAACGTTGCATGGTGGAAGAGTTATCATCCGTGGTGATTCCGAAAAACATACAAGACGCAATGAAACACCCTGAATGGAGAAAAGCGGTGTCTGAAGAGGTTGACGCTCTCAAAAGAAATCAAACGTGGGAAGAGGTGTTACTCCCAACTGAAAGAAAACCGTAGGGTGTAGATGGGTGTTCACTGTGAAGCTCGATTCAAATGGAAAGGTGGCTCGGTACAAAGCAAGGTTAGTTGCAAAGGGTTACACGCAAAAGTTCGGTATTGATTATGAAGATACCTTTGCACCAGTGGCTAAAATTAATACTATTAGAGTCCTTGTGTCAATTGCGGCAAATCAAGACTGGCCACTTAAGCAGTTCGACGTGAAAAATGCTTTCCTCAATGGTTATCTAGAAGAGGAAGTGTTTATGGATCCTCCTCCTGGAATGAATTATGGCGGCAAGGTGTGTAAATTGAACAAAGCACTATATGGGCTGAAGCAATCCCCTAGGGCGTGGTTCGGAAGATTTTCAAAGTTCATGAGAAAGATCGGGTATAAACAATCAGACGCAGATCACACTTTGTTTGTGAAGAGTTACGGTGATAAGGTCACAGCCCTAATCGTGTATGTGGATGATATGGTTGTTACGGGCAACGATCCAGACGAGATTAACACACTACAAGGTTTGTTGAGTCGCGAGTTTGAATTGAAGGATCTCGGGGACTTACGGTATTTCTTGGAATTGAAGTTGCTAGATCTAAGCATGGGATAGTAATGTGTCAACGAAAGTATGTTTTAGACCTTCTTGCAGAAACGGGAATGTTGGAGTGTCAACCGATTGATACTCCTATAGAAGTGAATCATAAGCTTACAGAATCGACAGGTCAAGTTCCAACCAATAGAGAGAGGTATCAAAAATTGGTCGGAAAATTAATCTATCTTGCACATACACGACCGGATATTGCATATGCGGTTAGCATTGTAAGCCGTTTTATGCATGCTCCTAGTGAGAGTCACATGAAGGCTGTTTTCCGGATTCTACGTTATTTGAAGTCGTCGCCGGGTAAGGGTTTGTTCTTTGGCAGAAATGGAAGCGTAGAAGTTAAAGGGTATACGGATTCTGATTGGGCAGGAGACAAGTCTGACGGTAAGTCCACGTCAGGTTATTTCGTATTTGTTGGTGGTAATCTTGTAACGTGGCGTAGTAAGAAACAGAAGTTTGTGTCGCGCTCGAGTGCGGAGGCAGAGTTTCGAGGTATGGTTCACGGTGTATGCGAGTTACTTTGGGTCAAACGGGTGTTAAAGGATCTGGGCATAAATGTGAAGGGTACTATGGAGTTATTTTGTGATAATCAAGCGGCTGTGAAGATAGCGAGTAATCCAGTTCAACACGATCGGACTAAACATGTTGAATTGGACCGGCATTTCATTAAAGATCATCTTGAGAAAAAGACGATTAGTCTACCGTATGTGAATTCGAATGAGCAGTTAGCTGACATGTTAACCAAGGCTATGTGTGTGCGAATATTCAACGACTCTTTGGACAAGCTTCGAATGATCGATATACATTCATCAGCTTGAGGGGGAGTGTGGTCAAGAGTCTTTTTAAGATAATAATTAGTTTTGTGGATATCTTGTATGGTGTATATCCGATAGTTAGTTTTGAAGGTAGATAATTATCCTGTATTGTATACCCTATATATGTACTTGTTGGTTATGTGAATAACAGAGAAAGAAAAACCCTTCATACGTATTCTGAGTCTGTATCAACTTCATGTTTAATCATTATTCATTAAGTACGTTAAAAAACTATTTTTCATATACTAGTATTCCACTCATACACAATCGTACACCAATTTGCCTTATTTTATATCTTAATCACAACAGAGCTTGTATCTGGAGAACACTGTGTTGACAGCTGAAGCTCGCAAATCCTTGTTTTTCTCCAATCTAAATGATTGCATTGATGATGAAGGCTTGACCCTACGTGATGTTCGTTTGGTATGTCTCAACTTTTTCTTACTTATTCTAAAATCATCACACTATCATCAACCACACACACTGTAGTACACTATATTCATAACCACACATGTTCTAATCACCTTCTAATTTCTTCACTGCAATATAGATTCACTCTACACATGATCTACAAAGCATTATATGTACGTTCTAATCCATCAACACCAATTTTCTTTTCAGCTATTCCTTCCGGTTGTCCGTGATTTCCATATTTTCTTATTTGTAATTGACCTTCAGCAACCATCCTTCACCATTATTGACAACATCAGACAAGATGATACACACCAAGTTGCATATGGTGTTTTGCCAGATCTCGTGGTAGGGTATTCACAAACCTCATATATACTTCTATTAATATATAAACATCAACCTTTAAAAATCAATCCCTTTTTCTTTTTTCAGCATTCATACATGACTGATTACTTGCGTTCCATGCAACATCACGTTTCTGAAACATTTGCGAATGTGCCCATACAAATACTTCAACTTCCATGGGAAACAATCAACAATAGCACTGACTGTGGTGTCTTCACTATGCGCCACATGGAAACATTCATGGGGGACAATGTAAAGGCTTTTAAAGCTGGCTTCAAACCGGAATCTGTTGCACAAAAAAAACAACTGGATAAGCTAAGGGTCTTATATCTTTGCAAAATCCTTACTTAAGACTTCAACTTGTTGAAAGCTTCAATCCTTCAATAATCAGCAGAGTTGCCTTCATCGCTCACAGAAACAATAAATCATGAAACGGGCAGCTACTACAATTTATGACCGATTGCGTGAATTTGGTTAACCTATTTTCATACTAGCTTTATTTTTTGGGTTAATAGACTAGTCTTTATCAACGAATATTGATATCTTTTTTTTGTTTAAGTTATGTTAAATGGTTTAATTTTTGTAGTTGGGTCATGTTTGTTACGGAATAAGAAGGTTATTTTATATAAATGTCTGGTATGTTAAGAACATTTTTTTTGTCATATATTTATACATCGTACGTAGCTTTATGTTCTTTTCATAGTTGTCTACATTAGCGATTTTTTGTTTTGCAATTCACAAATGGTTCATTAGAACTATAGGTGCATACATAGTTCATTATTCATTTCGTTCCATCATTTACCAACCTAACCAAATTATCTTATATTTTCTTCTGATTTTCCAAACCCTTACTTATAAACCAAATCCTTCATCCACAAAATTAATCTCGACGTTTTAACTGTATCCAATTTGATCGTCAATCCAAATTGTGAATACTACTGATCACGTTTTATCATACAATGATTACATCTATAATACTTTATTACTCCGTTTACACTAACTTATCCTACAATTCTTATACCAATCATACTAGTCTAATGCAACTCTCAACCACAAATAATTCTAAAAAATTCAACCCATAACATATCATTTCACAATGACTATAATATCGTAGTTATTACACATTACAATAATAACATATAACTAGATAACATTTATCTAGACAATGATTGAGTTTACTAACCTTAGCAGCTAGGCATGTTTAGCTACACAAATCCATTAACTATTATTGTTCTTGCTCGCTTCCAAGAATTCTTCGATTTGAATATTGCATTAAACCTTCAATATTGACACTCACACTTAATGACTCCTAGTGTTTTTCTTGAACCAATTACTCATAACGATTCATGAATTCAAACCCAGTCTGTCCCAAGAGTATTTGATGAATTTCAGATTTCATTCAAGATTCCAGTTTAGGGTTTATGAGATTTACATTTCAATTGGGTCCAAGTAAAAAAGATTTGACGATTTGATTTTCGGCATGAAATCGAACCAACCCATCATTTCTTATCTTTCCCAATTTAGGGTTTATGCAACGCAAACTCCGATTTAGACAAACATCATGTACTTAGAAAGCCTATTACCATTACTAAATATTTCATGTTTTTTTTTTTTTTATCCGAATGAATGGATTTCAAACCAAAGTTGAACATATAGCAACACAAAAACCAAATACAAGAAAAAGACAAGACAACATGAAACTTTCACCATCATTTTAAGCACAAAAAAAAAAGTAACATAAACATTATCAAGCATTTGAATCGATTCAAACATACGTATCAATCAAGGATTTCTTCATCTCATTAGCAATAGCCTGAGGTCTGGCTTCCCTCAACTTAAAGACATTCTCAATCACCGACAATTCGGTTGCAGTAGTGTCTGAACCACAAAACGCGGTCCAGTCGTTAACGGTTAACCCACCGGCTATCACTTCACTACCACGGTTAACCGTCCCTGCAACCAAAGGGACCTGAAGGAGCGTTGACAGCTCATCCAAATCTTCAACAGATGTGTGAGGGTGCACAATACCACCTCTATTTGAAAACACACAATAACTCCCCACAAGCACATTTCCTGCAATTGTCTGCCTAAACACTTCTACACCAAGAACATCCGCTATCATATCCTCTGTTTCCTAATAATAAGGAGGTCAAGAATCAAAATCCATAAGTCAAAAGACTCAAATCTTTCTGAGGGGTTAGAAAATAAGGTACCTTGTCAAGATCAGTATGGGTAAGGGCAACATGGTCATTACACGCCATGCAATTACCAAGTGCGGATAATTTCTCATTAATCCTTTGAACAACAACTGCATCAGGTAGGCTGTTCCTCAGGTGTTGAAGCTCTGTAAAAGTATCAAACATCACTTCTAAATAGAAAGGTAAAATGGGCTAATTTGTAAATATAAAAAGTGCAAGGTTATAATGTTTACCTTCATCAGTAGTAGTATGAGGCAAGAGAAGGCCTTTTTTATTTCCTACAAAAGAATGGTTAACATCAATGGTCAAAGTCAATAATGGGTTGATAATACAGAATTACAGATTGAAAAATGTTTTTTAAGGTATTGATTTTACCTATGCAAAGCCTTCCAACTATTCTTGTGCCACCAATGGATGTTTTAACAACAGGAATGACATCAGCTAATTCAGACTCAAAGATGCTGCAAATCCGAATTCCAGATTCTTGTAAACTTTGTTTATAAGTAACAAATTGCAATAGCAGTTAAAAGAACAGATTGCAAACCTGTAGAAACTTTCAGAGCCTTCATTTGCTACCAAACAGTATGCATTTGTGAGCTTTGTGAATACCCCAATTTCACATGAGTTTTCGAACCTTAGCCCTGAAAGAATGCATATATACACAAGTAATTGAGTGTATGTTTGGTTGGATGGAATGGAATCACAAAGGAATGTAATGGAATAAGCAAGGTAATGGAATGATTCATTACATTCAGTAATTTTCATATGAAATTTTATATACTATATGTAAATATAATGTGGAATGAGAAAAAGAAGGAATCACATTCCATCAAGAACATCCGTTTTCCATTCAATCAAAAATTGCATATAATAAGTTAGCTTACTTGTGGCCATGGTAAATGAGAAGGAGATGTATGGAAAATGGCTTCAGAAGCAAGGATCCTGTCACAAAATTATAAAATCCAAGTATTTATGTATTAGGAAATCGTTATCTGACTTCACAAATCAAGTGAAGTTATCAACTTAGGAAATGATTAAATTTTTGGTAGCCCACAACTTAAATGATTATAAAGCGATCAAACTTCTGATTCTCTAGTTCTCATTTCCTGAAATTTTAACACAAACAGCTTCCTTGAACCCAAGATCATTTTTTTCTATCCTACTGAGGTAAAACAAAATATCTATCAACGCAAATTTCAATTCGAAAATGAAAATAGAAAACCCGAATTTAGTAGAAAATACAGAATCTGTAATCGATATGATCAATCTCTAATCTTGATCGTTTCTTTGATTCAATAATAAGATTTGTAAGCTTCAGTATTCGACAATTTATAAGTTAAAAGGTGGATCTCAATCCAATCGCGCGTATCTCGGAAATAAAAGCTTCGAGAAGAATGGAAAGAAGTTAAGATTGCAGTGGGAATAGAGAGTAGACCTGTGAATACGACGAAGAGGGAAGAACCTTGAGCGAGTGCGATTAATTCAGATACAGAAAGTCAGAAACTAAAGCAGGAGTTGGGTGAATCAAATTAGGGCTTTGAAAAATGAAAAGTATGAATCAAAGGGATTTTTTTAGTGATATATATTTTTAGAAGATTTTTGTTTTGGGTACACCGCTGTTGACTTTGATTCAGGAACTTGATGACCAAGCAAAAAATCTACTTGAACCCCAAGGTTATGTTTATGTTTATGCCTCGATCTTTGAGAGAATTGTAATGGCCATATCTATAATGTGAACCTTTTAAAAAGTATTATGTTGTAAAATCAAGTTTTATTAACTTTATTCACTAAAAATATATTTTTATAAATCTCCAACTTAAAAGATTTTTCAAAGAAAGTTATAACACTTCAACGTCTATCTCAATTCATTTCAAATGTTATATAAAAATCTTCACTTATTTGTAGTTTTTAACTCTTAATTATGTGTCATACTTGATCTTATTGTTATTTTAATTGGTATATGGTTACCTTTGTTATTGATATGGTTGAAAACTTGAAATATCATGTCCAAAAAAAACGATAACTAGACTAGGTTCCTATTTGGAAAAGAGATTTTAGACGCGTATGATTTTATTTATCGAGATAGCTTTCAAATCCACATTAGCTATATATGTATTATCATTACAGTTCATTTTTTTTTTTTCATATACAACACCACCAACAATAGACTCTAGGAATCTCATTATAAGGACAGAAGAGAAGTAGAAATCGACAATCAAGTCTTCATACATAAGAGATATTGTTTCACAAATTTGACATTCCGTATGTACAATGCAAGGACATATAAATGTAGAAACAATCAAAATATATTTATAAGAGTAAATTACACGAATGGTCCCTATGGTTTTGGGTAATTTACACGTTTGGTCCCTAACTTATTTTTTTAACTTGGAAGGTCCCTATTGTTTGCTTTTATTACATGTTTGGTCCCTACTTTGTGTTTTTATTACATGCTTGGTCCCTATCTTACCTAAAAATACTATTATTTAAATAGGAAAAATAGCGGGGTAAGTAAGATAAGGTGAGGGGGGTGGAATTGTGGGTGTGTTTATCTAAATAAATTAAAAAACCAAAGGAAAAATAGTCTTTTTAACTAAGACAGGGACCAAACGCGTAATAAAAATAAACTGTAGAGACCTTCCGAATTAAAAAAATAAGTTAGGGACCAAACGCGCAAATTACCCTAAACGATAGGGACCATTCGTGTAATTTACTCGAAACAATCAAAATATATTTTTTTGAGTAAATTACAAGAATAGACCCTATGGTTCAGGGTAATTTGCACGTTTGGTCCCTAACTTATTTTTTTAACTCAGAAGGTCTCTACTGTTTGTTTTTGTTGCACACTTGATCCCTATCTTACTTAAAAATATTATTTTGTCCTTGATATTTTAATTTATTTAAATAAACACACCCCCAACCCCAATTCGACCTCATTTCATTTTACATTATCTACCCCATCTTATTTAAATAAATTAAAAACTCAAGGGCAAAATAGTTTTTTTAGATAAAACAGGGACCAAACGCGCAACAAAAACAAATTATAAGGATCTTTCGAGTTAAAAAAAGAAGTTATGAACCAAACCTGCAAATTACCCCAAACCATAGGGACCATTCGTGTAATTTACTTTATTTTTTTATCCATACAAACATGAAATATGCATAAAATCTTTAATCCAAAGAATCTTGCCTCCATATACTCTTGGTTTCGTGATTAGGATGAGATTTATAGGCATTCTAATAAATCATAAAACATTTGCCATTACCAACATTTCTATATATAGCATTTTATGTATCCAAAACAACATAAATATCGCATGCACATTTTATCTCAAGTACATCCAAGTATCATGACATTACAATAGTTTTATTTTTATTAAAATCACACTCAAAGAGTATGAGATATAATAAGATGAACATGTCTTCAAGCTTTCTACCAATGTTGGAACTTTGCAGTTCGTAATAGTATTATAAACATTCATATATCAGCGACACAAAAGTTCCAAAATACATGCATACAAATTGGTCAAAAACCTCAACATGGTTTCTTTGTCTCCACAGACCACATTGGATGATAAATTAGATATTAATATTTAAACACATTTAAAAAAATGAACCTTTTTACATACATTAATTGGAACTTATGCTAAATAAATTAAGGACTAAGATTCATACAAACTATGAAGCCACATAGTCATGCTTTCTTTTGTTAGAACTTGAAAACATGAAAAAACGTGTCCAAGATTTCTTATGTTTAACAGGTTGCACCTTTAAATCCTTCTTCTCATAGACTTCACTCATATACCGAACCACCGCCTAAAAAGAAGACAATATAAAAATTAGTCATCAGATAAAAAATTATTTTTCCACCAACTCCTAAACTGACCCACACTGCCAAAGAGGTGAATAAGATACACAACAACGGGTGTCTATAAGAAGCACAATCCACATTGGATTTGAAACTTCTATATTGGCAGTGAAACTCCCACACTACAAATATTGGCACATGAACCCCTAAGTTGGCCCACATTGGCCAAGTATAGCTTAGGATTTCAGACTTTCGATGCCAATATTTGCACCGGAAACCCTAAGCTGGCCACATTGGCCAGCTTAGGGTTTTGAACTTTCGAAGTCAATATTTACAGTGTGAGAGTTTCAACACCAAATCCACAATAGATTTGGCACTAAAACTCACACTGCAAATACTGGCACCGAAAGTCTGAAACCCTAAACTTACCACACTGCTACAAAAAAAAAAAAAAAAGATTCACCTGAGCGCCTTTGTCAAGTACGTTCCGTGGTGGTACTTCCAATGGATTTCCTTCAACATTCAACACCCGTAACTTCAATAACATCCTAAACGAATCAGGAATTACTCGTATTTGATTATTACTCATATCCAACTCTTCAAGATTCTCAAGGTTTCCGATTGATCTTGGAAGTGATGTCAAATCGGCAAAGTTGTTGCTAATGTTGATCTTCAAAAGAGTTGTAGCAAAACATAAGCTTTCAGGAACCGAATCAAGTTCATTGAAACTTACATCAAGTTGTTTTATACTTTTCAACGATGACATTGTTGTTGGCAACCTACTAATGTTATTATATCGAACAGATAGTTTTTCCAATGACTCGATTCTTCCTACTGCTTCTGGTAAAGCTTTAATCTTGTTGTAATCCGCAAGAAGTTGTTTGAGAGATGAACATTGACCAACTGCATGTGGGATTTCTTCGATTTCGTTTGTTTCAATGTTTAATGTTTGTAAACTTGAAAGAGAACCGATTTGATCAGGAAGAAATGAGAAGTTGTTCGAACTTAAATCGAGTTCTTGAAGATGGATTAATCTACCAAAAGTCGAAGGAAGAGATGTTAAGTTGTTTCCATGAAGATCTAGAAAAATTAAGTTGATGAGATTCCCTATGGATTCTGGGAGTTCGATGATTTTGTTTGAATGTAAGTTGAGTTTTGTTAATGAAGAAAGGGTTCCTATTGAAGACGGGAGAGAAAGAAGACGATTTTCTGAGAGATTGAATGTGAGTAAATTGGATAATTTCCCAATTGAATCGGGAAGCCATTCTATTTGTTCCATGAGTTTGTTATGAAGATCAAGATCTTTAATTCCTTTCTTTGATGACACTTCAATCAAACTAGCAAGCTTTATAAGACTCAATTTTTCACCATCTTGTCCTACATAATTACATATTAATTAAAGCAAATTCATGGATAATGTAAAAAAAACGTAACTAAATTTGAACTTTTGAAGTTTAAACTCACCGGAAGTAATGGAAGGTTTTAGAGTTGAATCGAAAATTTGGGGTTTGGAAAATTTACTTGATACAATCCCTCCATTGTTATAAAACTTGGATTTATTCACATAACTATCATCTTTAATGATCAAATGGGAGCTTTTGACATGATCTTTATCAAAAGATAAGCTAGACGTGGAAGATGGAGTGCTGTGATCGAAGCTTGAAGTAGAGATGGAAGCTGGATTTGTTGAAGGTGAAGAAGAAGAAGTACTTGAAGGGGTGTTATTAGATGGAGAAGGAGAACAACATTTGGAGGCTCTTTGAATCATTTCATCGAACAGTTGGTGGCAGTTTTCGAGGTCTAGTAATTTAACAGCTTCCCTCTTTTGTTCTTTGGTTTGGAATTGGACTAATTGTTTCTGCATCTCCAACAGGATGTTGAAGAGTTCTTCAGGGATGTATTTTCGTTTCTTTTGTCTGGAAATTGCTTCGATTCTTGTTTGTTCTTCATTGTCTGCGTTTCTGATTAGAATGACTGCATCTTCAATGTCATCGATTCCAGGTCTTGGAGGAAGAGATTTATGAATTCTCATTATCTCTTCCACCACTTCGTCTACTGATTTGGCAGATGAATCCATGTCCTTCTCGGGTATTTGTGTGTGTGTGTGTGTACTGTATATTGTTTATTCACGTATATACTGTAATGTCTTAATGCTACAGAGCTCATGTTTTTAAAGGATACATACGTGTATGGATAAATCAAAATATTTTATTATTAATGCTCGTGATTTCTTAAAGTATCACAACCATAAAAAAGAAAAAAAAAATCACATGAGTATGAATTAATTTAAGACAAGGACTTTTGAACTAGAATCACATGAATCTTGTTGGTGATGATCACATGGACAAAAATAAATAAAATACAAAAAAGTTTTAATATTTTCACATCAAAAGTCAAAAGAGAGGTGAGAATGATTAGTTTGCCAACTGAAACTGGCATGATATGTCAAAATTATGGTGATATTAGCAGAAAACGACACCGTATACAAGCAGTTAAGTTCAGGCTGTTTATGAAACATACCTACACCATGATCACCTTCTTGAATTTCCATTGTCATTGACCTTGAAACAATGTCGCTTCTTGATGCAAGCAAGAAGTTTGGCAGGATGGATGGGGGATAAATCCTTCACCTTCACTGTTCGTTAAAATCCCACCTTCACCGTGAATGAGAGATCCAGTTTGATGAAACTGTACAAATCCAAGAACTTGAAATAAGAAATGTCACAGAAATGGTAAGTAAAGTAAGCATAAAACCTGAAATCCCTAAGATATATATCAAGAAACGACCTCTTTGAAAGCCCTAATTAATGAAAGGTAATAACATTATCCCCATAAGAGAGAAAAGGAAAATCGGTAGACGAATTGAAAAAACTTCGAATTGGGAGGGCGATCCTCCCGGTGAACTGACCGTAGCCCAAACCGACACAGGTGAACCTCGATTCAATCCCAATTTTGAATGGAAAAATTGAAGGAAAAAGGAAAAAATGCACCAAGGCGTCTTCTAACACATCACCTTGAAATCCACTTGAATTCGTGGAGCTAAGTGAGAGGAGAGGGATTTAGGGCTTTGAGGCACCAGCCACAAAATTCTCCGGTATTATGATAACATAACCGACGAAGAAGCAGGAAACAATGAACTCGAGATTCCATAATTTTCACAGAAAAAATCGAAGAGGATGAACAAATTAACTGAAATTGGACTTCGTTGAGACGTTCACCATTTCCATCGATTATCTTTGTGTCATCTAGTACCTCTCTGCCATAAAATTCATGATATCCGATATGCGATCTCTCTCCACCCTGAGACTAGGCGGAGTGGATGCGCCAAGCCCGCCCTCGCCAAACACGCTATGCACGCCAAACACCGCGCCAAAGGGGCTCGCTAAGCTCCACGCGCTGTTTCACCGGCGAGAAAAGAGAAGGAAATAGTGATAGTGGTGGGACCCTTCTGACTAGTTGACCATATTTTAAGCAAATTCTAACCATTTTTCTATACAATTGAAACCATTTTTCTAGCCGTTTTTTTTTTGGAAAATGATATTTTAGGGTAATAAAGTATTTGTTTTGTATTCATTAGGTCTCTTATCTTTTTTTTTTGTCTTTATTATACCATTGAACTTATAATCTCTGTTCACCAAAGCCCTTGATACCGGTTGTTGTAGGTTACTACTTATGTGGATATTACGTGGCATTATGTGCCATAAACTGGACTTATTAATTGCAAGGTTACAGTACTGCATCGTTCTTGCCCTAGATCGACATGTCTTCTTCTTCTTCTTCTATTTCTTCCAAACGAAATGTTGAATTTCAACCTGAAAATCCTTGTTACTGTGGGTTACCATCTCGTGTACGAACTAAAGACAATCCAGGAAAAAAATTCAGATTGTGCCCTAACTCCATGGTAAAGCAATTGTTTTTTACTTTTCGTTTAATCTTCTTTCTTTAACCAATTTGTTACTTTTTTCAAGAATGAAGGACCAAAATGCAAGTTCTAGGAATGGTTGGAGCCTGAAACCCCTGAAAATGAAGTCAATTCTGGGAAGGACAAAAAAGAACCGTGCAATTTAACCCTCAAAGTTTCTATATTGGAAAACGAGATCAGCATATGTAAGATGAAGATGGAACAAGAAAATTTGGTTGTTAGACAAGAGTTTGAAAAACTCAAATGGAAGCTATTTACTCATAAAGTTGTGATGATTGTGTTGTTTCTGTTGTTTGTGTTTAAGAAGTAGTTTAGCCCTTAATTTAACCCTTAGTTTAGCTGTATTCAAAGACTAAATGTAATCCTTAATGTTGTAATTTGTTTGATGTATTATGACTAAATCTTTTTGATTAATGATAGTTTGATGTTTTGAGTGCTTTCCAAGAAGTATTAATGTGTTTAAAAGGTTAATGAATTGGACATGATGCATGGGTAAAATGGTCCAGATTAAATTTGGCAGTCAATTGTTATTGTGTTGATGTGATCCAAGGGTAAAATGGTCCAGATTAACCACATTGGATACATCAAACATTTCTTAATGTATTAAGACTCATCTTGGCATTAATCAATTGTTAATGTCTTGATGTGATCCAAGGGTAAAATGGTCCAGATTAAATTTGGCAGTAATCAATTGTTATTGTGTTGATGTGATCCAAGGGTAAAATGGTCCAGATTAACCACATTGGATACATCAAACATTTCTTAATGTATTAAGACTAAATCTTGGCATTAATCAATTGTTAATGTCTTGATGTGATCCAAGGGTAAAATGGTCCATATTAAATTTAGCAGTAATCAATTGTTAATGTGTTGATGTGATCCAAGGGTAATATGGTCTAGATTAACAACAACAACAACACCAAACTTTGCTTAATGTAGTAATACTAAATTTACTTGATTTATGATAGATAATATAAGATTAAACAATCTATATGCAAATAACCGTACACCAAAGCATATAGATAAAAGACAAAGTTGTAATATTCCATCAGCATGTGCACTATTACAAAAGTTGTGCCCACAGTTGTCCTAATATGTCAAAAGATGTGTCATGTGTCATGATTCTTAAAGTTTTCCCAATTACATATTTATAAGACTAAAAGTTTGTCTTTCCAAATAAAATCATTCCAACACCATTGGGTTGTGTCCAGTGCTTCCTTCTTTCTTCAAAACCTTCCTCCTCAACCCTATCTTGGTAATTCTTTCTGAGTATTTTCGTATCCTCTGCCTAGTTGCAACTGGTTGAGCATGGACATCAACATCTGGATGTGGATCATCTACTTGAACTGGTTCAACATGTGGAGCTGGTACATCAACTGGGTCCACTGGATCTGCTTGAACTGGATCAAACTGTGGAGCTGGTACTTGAACTGGATCCACTGGATCTGCTTGAACTGGATCCACTTGAACTGGTTCCACTTTACCTGCTATACAAATATGTAGCTAATGAGTTGGATGTTCCATTTAAATTATATTGTTTTAATAGCATACCTTTCTCTTTTTTACATTTTTTAGGTTTCTTGTTTTTTGGCCTTGAAGTGGATGCTACATCTGCTGGTTTAGTAGGACATGTTGATCTATTGTGGCCCCTTTATCTACAAATAGTGCATCTATTAACTGAACCTGCTTTTGAGATAGTATGCCTTGTTTTCCCCTTGCTTTCCATCTCAGATTGATCTTTTTTCCTTTTAAGGGTTGGCCTTTCTGGTAACCTTCTTTTTTGAGGAGGCAATGGCTTCATGTAGGGAGCTTCAGGCCACATGGAACTACCATTAAGTGGGTTAATGGTATGGTTGTAACAAGTCAAGAACATGGCTGTATGGAACCATGGTGCAACATAATCCTCTACATTCCTGTTAAGGTATGAAATGGTTGCCACTGCATGCACACATGGGATACCTAATACTTGCCAAGATCTACATCCACATGTGTTGTTAAGGTCCACAGCATATCCATCATTTCCAATCCTAACTTCATATTGTTGTATCCCAGATGGTATAACACCCCAAAATCTACCCAAAAAATAAGAAGTTCTATTAATCTTATAGATGAGACATATAATATTTATAAAATAGAAGTTATATCATACCTTTGCTGTTTCTTTAGCTTTGATATCTTCAACCTTATAGATGGACATATTTTTAAATATCCCCAACTTTGTCCCTCTTGCAACATTTTATACATCCTCTCCATTGCATAAAACCTTATCTCTTCCAACATGGTGATGAGTGGCCTTTTCCTAGCAAGATCAATAACAAAGTTGAAACTTTCTGATATGCCATTCTCATAAGCATCACAAGCCCTGTCCACTTCAAAGAATGCCCTGCACCAACTTTTAGGGTCCCTTTCCATGAGGTGTTCATAAGCCAAAGGGTCAATTTTTTTTATGGAATTCATTTCTACCTCAAATTTTGGTTGAGTAGTACTAGCAGTTGCTGCCCAAAACAACTTCCTATATTGTTCACCTTTGAAACTTTTCTTGAAGTTAGCATAGATGTGCCTAGCACATTGTCTATGCTCTGCTGCTGGAACCCTTTCTTTGATAGCCTCTATTAATCCCTGAAAGAAAGCATGAAATAGATGACATAACAAAAACATTCAACTTAAACAAAACAAAACAGAAATATACCTTGTGTTGGTCTGATATGAGGGTCAATCCATGACCAATTCCCATTTCAATGTCATCCAGAAGGAGGTCAAGAAACCACTTCCATGTTTCCTTATTTTCAACTTCCACCACAGCCCATGCAATAGGGAAGATGTGGTTGTTTTCATCCCTACCCATAGCTGCTAACAATTGGCCTCTACATATACCCTTTAAAAAACAACCATCTACCCCTATTACCCTCCTACATGCTGCAATCCAACCATCCTTCACACCCTTAAAACAAACATACATTTTAGAAAAGTAGGTTGTGGAATCAGGCATGACATTCACATCTATCTTTACTGTTGAACCAGGATTTGTCCTCATTATTTCTTCTCCATAACTCCATACTTTACCATAATGTTCTATCAAACTACCCTCTATCTCATCCAAAGCATATCTCCTAGCATTTCTACATTGAGTGACACTAACAATCAAGTTAAACTTTGTACTCACTTTGGCCTTCATTTTCCTTATGCTCATTTTAGGGTTCTTCACAAGTTGATTCTTAAAATGCATTCCAATCCATTTATATGTTACAATGGAACCAAGTTTGAAGACTCTTGAACAGTTATGTTCATCAACTAATGACTTAATTTGGAAAGACGGTTTCACTGCTCATCCAGGAAAACCCACAGTCTAAAAGGACAAGAGGGGTTCTTGTTCTCTTTACAACATCTCACTAATAACCTATGACTATCATTTTTCTCAAAATAAAGGTTGTACCCATTCTTCAATGCATAGTTAGTCAAACAATTTTTCAATTCCATGGGGTTAGAGAATCTCATAGCTAGAATTGGCACCATTTTGTCCCATTTATGGTTCTCATTATGGACAGTGTACACTGGTTTGTCATCTCCATTCTTGGTTTCAACCTCATCAGTTTCAGCCTCATCATTTATATCCTTACACATACCTGACACCCGATGTAAGAATTCATCACCAATAGTCTTGTCAAGAGAAGGAATGTAATCATCTGCTTCATGCTCATATGGAATATCATCAGAAAGTTGTGAATCTTTATCATCATCCAGGTCTTCCTCAGAATAATGCCCTTCATCATCTTCCATTGCTTCCATATCAGCCCAATCAAGTACAGGTTCATTTTCGTGGTCTATATACACATTCATTCTTAGACCGGCTTCATCACTATAACTCGTTTCAATAAACTCAAAGTAGTCAGCATCATTCATAAGTCTCCTAATACCCTCTGCCAATGGTTCATTTCTAGTGCAATAATATACATTATCACAACTGCCTTCAATCAACTTTGCAATGAACAAGTTAAAGTCTTTGAAATCCATTGCACCAAAATCGACATCACAAATTGAAACAACAACAGCGTTCAAGTACACTAATGGTTTTGGTGCGAATAAACCATTATAATGTAAATAAACTGTTAAATACTTACTTTGTTTGGAATCGGAGGCCATCTTCTTCACTATAACACTTGCATTCACCAGTTCTCTTCAATTTCCTAACCATATGCTTCGATTGAACTTTTTCTTCCCTCAATTAAAAAGAACCCTAACTGTAAGGACAAACGGGTGAAAGAGAAACGGTAATTAAATGTGTTCTAATTCCACGTAATAAGACATGTCATCTCTAATTAAATGTGGTAACCGGTAAAACAGGTGATAACCGGTCGCGGTGGCTTTGGTGAACAGGGATTATAAGTTCAATGGTATAATAAAGACAAAAAAAAGATAAGGGACCTAATGAATACAAGACGAATACTTTATTACCCTCAAAGGTCATTTTCCCATTTTTTTTCCTATAGAATTTAAATTTTCAAACTTTCTTCCAAACACTGTAAATACATTTAAATCTTTATATTTTAACACACACAATTCTTATTATATAAACCTCTATTTATAAAAATGTCTTCATCATCTTCCTTATATGATCTTTTTGAGACTGTGTTTCAAGTCGTTATCATCGTGCGTAATAGGCTATAACAAGCTATTATCACTCAAAAAGTGTATAATGTACAACATAGACACAGAACATATAGAAGCTTATGTGAAGACGCCCAACAACGCCTTATGTGATTATTTTGATGAGCATGCTATTTAATACCATTCTGGGCTAGATCTCAACAAAGACGACCATACGAAGTGTCAAATCATCATATGGAACAAGATGACGCAAAAAGGAAGTTAAAAGGTGTTCAAGGTTCATCGACTAAAATGAAGGCCGCAAGGAAGGAGCTCCAAAGGTCGAACACTAGGCCCGATAAAATCTTGATAGCAAAACAAATCAAAGAAAAGAATCATGCACTAAAACTTTTTTTTCAAAAATGATTCGAAGTTGTCCGAAAAGGATTGTCGGATTGTGGCAAACGGAAAGGCGGATATTGCAAAACATTATGATTGGTCGAATTAGTAGGATTTATTTTTTGCTTTATATCTTAAATCTAGTGGTAAGTAATGTTTTAAGTCAACTATTAAGTCATGTTTAAAGTCTATTATTAAGTCATCTTTTTAGTTATGTTTTAAGTCAGTTTGTAGCTTTTTTATTTGATATGCAATGTTTGTATTTTATAAAAATAGAATTTGTTTAACTTTGAAAAAACAAATGAATTTAGTAAGCTAAGTTCAACTCCACTAATGTGACATGTTACTGATATAGCATAAGAAGAAGAAAAAAAAAAACAACAACTAAGATGCGAGTGTATTAAACTCACCACCACTCTCTCTATCCTAACTTTTGTTTATCAGGTTCAGTAAGTGTTGTATTGAAAGGCTTGTATGGTATGCTTTATGGAAAATACGTTGAGTAGAATTAGGCGGTTATTCTCGTCATTGACACATTGTCACCGACAACAAATAGCATCGCACGAAATCCTTACTAGCTTGGATGTCGATTTCATCCCAACCCACACACTGTTGAGTCTAAGAGAGCATAGGTTTGTGAGAAAAATAAAAGAAAGGATCTGATGATGGTGATAATAGTAAAACCAAAAAAAAAAGATAAAATAGGAAAATCGGTGTTATCAATAACATAATCAATAGAAAAAAAATCACCTCAAAAGTCCAAAGAAACCTGGCGTCGAAAGAAAATAAGTATCATACCGATAGGGATTGTCATAAGTGTTGACAAGATAGGACAAAAAAGACATGAAATTAAATTGAAACCAAATTGAAATATAAATTCAATTGAATAAGTATCATACCCTATCCGCAAAATATTTCAAATTAACTTTTATTTTTAAACCCTTGAAACATGATAAGAGTCTCTTTGTCTTAATTTGTCAAATAAAAGAAATTATTGCCTTTTCTTCACGATCGAATGCTTTCATTCCACATACTTCCCCAATCCCCACTTTTCAATAAAATCATTAATTTTATCACAAGCATTTGAATTGTCTAGTTTCCAATAAAAATAGTAAACAAAATATATTGTATACTTGGTTTAAAAATGCGCCGACTAGGCACGCTTAAAGCGCTAGGCGCCAATGTGATCAGCAGAAGCGCTTCCGACCTAGTTAGGCGATGCGATTTCTTAATGCGCTCGACTTGGACCGCTTTTAGCGATTTTTTTGTACACGGTAAGTGGCGCTTAAGCGCGACTTAATGGGTGACGGACTTTTAATTAGATGTGGGCCATTAGGTTAAATAAACGAATAAAAAAACTCTTGGAAACCAAGAGTCGCACATCACACGACAAAGATTCACAGGCGGCAACAAAAAAAAACTTCATCCATCTTTTCCAACCGTTTTCTCCAAGAATTCCAAATCTTCATCCATCTTCTTCAACTCAACTGTACTTCCAGACTTCCAGTGTTCGTTCCAGTCTTCCACTAAACATCAAGGTATCTTTCTTTCATTCTACTCTAATTCTACTCTCATATCAACTCTTAAGTCTTAACTTTTTTGTAACAGCCCGGAATTTTCAGGTATTTATTATTGGTTTATTTTTGGAAATTGTGAGTGGACTCGGCGAGTTGGAGCCTAAACTCGCCGAGTAGGATCGCGGTTTTGGGCACGGGTTCGCGTCCGGACTCGGCGAGTCCACGCTGTTTGGTGAAACCCTAATTCCCGGGGTTTGAGACCTATTTAAAGGGCCTTATGGCCGTCATTTGTGCTCACCAACCCATAGAGAGAAACCCTTGAGTGCTTGAACGTTTTGAGAGAGAAAGGAAGCATTTCTTGACCTTGTGTGTGTTATTTAGCAAAGAAGGAGGAGGTTCTAGACAAGAGGAAGCAAAGGAGGTTGCTATACTGTGGATTTGAAGCTTAGATCATCAAACTAGAGGTATGATTTCGGCTCATCTTCTGTTTTGTGAAGTATAATTGGATTTAGGGTTTCTTGTGGTCATTATTGGGTTGATTTGATGCCAAATAGTTCCCTTCTTGTGTTGAGGCTCTGGATCTGGAACCATAGAGGTCCAGAGAGCCTCACTCATCAAGCTTTATGTATAGCAATGGAGATTATGACCTTGAGTTGTAGTATTTGGGACAAAAGCATCATATATGGTCATATAGATATTGTATGTGCATCAAGATAGTGACTTTGCGTGCTAAATAAGCTTGGAAGGACTGGATCTATGGGTTAATGGACCGGATCTGACCTTATGAGCAAGTTTGAGTCATTGCATGGCACGGACTCGCCGAGTCCGAAGAACAGACTCGATGAGTAGTATGAATATTGCCCCGACCACTCAGCGAGTGGTCTTGCCGAGTTGGGGAGGGTTGACTCAGTGAGTCAGGGGGAGTCAGAGTGGACAGGTGGACTGAATCAAGCTGGACTCGTCGAGTTGTTCTTGAGACTTGGCGAGTTAAGTCGTGGTGGCCCCACAACTCATGCCAGGTGGAACTCGTCGAATTAGGAGAATACTCGATGTGTCAAGGGAGGATTCCAGGGAAATTAGTGTATACGCTCAGACTCGCCGAGTCGCTATAGTGCACTCGTCGAGTCCGATCAAAGTTGACCGTTGACCGTTGACCAACGTTAACCTAAGTTGACTTGTTAAGGGGTAGTCAACCTTAGTTGGGAAAGTGTTAATTAGAGATGTATTGTGCTATAGGAGGACTATAACTCGGGAGATCGAGCACTAGTGATTTCAGGATTTACGAATTACCGAGACACGCGAGGTGAGTCTTCTCACTATACTTTACCTTGAGTAGGTAACTAGAGTTATGTGATAGAGTATTTGTATGCTATGTTTGTTATGTGTTGTACTGCATTATTTCTATGTGATTTATGTTGTGCATGTTTACAAAGTTAGAACCTAAGGGTTCACAGTGTTTGGGTGCACGGACCCACAGAGTTATAGCCTCGAGTGGCTAATATGTGTTATATGTGGTATTTTGGGGAACTCACTAAGCTTTGTGCTTACAGTGTTTGATGTTATTGTTTCAGGTACTGGTGACGACCGTGGGAAGGCGTCGGCTTGATCCGTACACACGCATGGAGTTTATGCATTTGAGATCTTGGGATTTTGTAATACTTGGATTAAATATTTGAATGTGATTGTTTTTCCGAATATTAAATGAGTTATATATTTTATAAAATTTGAAAAAAAAATTGCTTTGAAATTTACAGTGTTACAATTTGGTATCAGAGCCTTGGTTTGAAGGATTCGGGTACACCTTCGGGAGTATTTGAACTCAAACTGAGGATTTGGAAAATATTTTCAAAAGAGAACCAATTTTTTTCTAAAAGTAAAGGATTTTTAGAAAAAATCAAAGAAGAAACGTGTGTACGATCAATCAGCGCCCGAACGGTGATTTCCCAAAATACCCTTATATTATGTGTTTATGAAAAATCGATATGATGTATTCTCTTGCTAGAGTAGGCTAGGTATTCTTATTAGGACTAGAGTGCCCTGATTTGTGATGCCTTAGCCTAGGGAGATATGAGCTGCTATGAGATGCTTGAGAGTGAATAGGTAGCAGCGAGGAGCTTATGAGAGATCTGTTAGAGAGTGATAGAGTACTTGGAATTTGGGATCTGAAGAGGAGGATTTGGGGTGTGTACTGAGACGGTGTGGACAGTAGTATTGGGCCCGTACTATTGAAAGCACCGGGGCGGTGCACGGTCCAAGTAAGAATCTTCGGAATACCAAGGATCAAGGAGGGATGAGTTGTCGAGTGTGAGTATGCTCGATCGGACTCTAATTTATCGTATGTTGTATTTCAGAGGTTGATCATGGTGAGGACACGTCATATGCCGGAGGGTGTCGGGGCTAGTGATGAGGAGATCCGACAGATCATTCATGACGAGGTGGCTGCGGTCATCAGGGCAGAGATACCAGAGATGTCCGGGTCTATTAAGACCGCGCTGATTGAGACCTTCGACGAGCGTTATGCCGCTCTTTCTGAGGCTGCGGTTGCGGCAACCACTGCAGCTGTTGTTGCTGCTAGGCCGCAGGGTGGTGACGCGTTGCTGTTCCGGGAGTTCAGCAACACGAAACCACCGGAGTTTGATG